CTTGGGTAGCTCTAGATCACCCCCTCCCATTACTGTGATACCTATAGCACAACCCTTTCCTGTGACGTATGTCTTCACCTGTAATGAGGGGGCTTACACGCCCCCAATGTCCTGAGAGAGGATAAAAGCTTGGGAAGCATTAAAGTCTCTTGCTCCCTCCATGTGGACCACCAAGCGGGGCTGAGGTGAGCAACGCTACCATGAAATGTGTCTGACTCCATTTATTTCTATATCTCTCCTATCTCTCATGCTCTCTATAACTTTAATATAATATTTACTTCTTATTGCTGTACAATTGCACCTACTGAACCCGTAATGATTGTGCTAGGAGCTGGCTTCTTCTGGCAATTTACAATGATATGATTTTTTTGTTCTTTGATGCCTGCTACCTGATCCCTTCGACACCTCGTGGTCACAGAGACTAGTGTACTTCTTCATTGTGGGCTTTGTTGCTTCTGAGCTAGATGGCTGCTTGTTTACCTGCAAGCCTTTAAGACCACAGATGCTATATCTTTTGATAGCCGGGGCACCACCAAGTTTCTTCACTACATTTGTTTATGCACACATTTGTCTTCAGCGATCGTGCTGGGAAGGTATGCATTATGGAATGCCCTTGTAATAGAACAAAGTGTTCTTGCATTCAGTAAGTACTTGAGTGGAGGCCCAATGTCAAGACACTTCTTAACATGGATGAAATTAGAGGACATTATGCTGGGTGAAATTATTCAAGCACAAAAGAACAAATACTGTATGAGACCACTAGTATAAAATGTCAAGAAAAGATTTTTACAGTAAAAGACACATTCTTTTATATGTTTCTTGGAAGTGGAAGGGTAAAGGAGGGAGGGGAAGTTGTTGGCTAGAGGTAGACAAGTGTTAACTGGGGTGAATGGGAAGGCAATATCCAATAAGAGGTTGGCAACAAAATGATGGAGACAGGGGAAGACACTAGCAGGTTTGCCAGAGTCAAAGCAATGAAGCAAGTCTTGCTAAATATACAAGAGGGAATATACCCATGTTTGACTGTGGATGTTTATGTATGTGTATTTACCTTTGCTACAAATAGATCTGTGACTGTAGTGAGCACACCGAGGATAAAGTTAAGAACACGTCTCAATCATAGCTAACCACTTCGAGGGAATGAATCAATGGGCCTGGGGGATCTGGACTATAGTCTTGTAGTCTCTTGGTCAAGGGACACAAACGCCAATTGGCATAACACAGTTCACAAAAACAGTGCCCTATATCCTACTTCGGTGATTAAGAACTGCAGTCTTAAAAGCTTGTGAACAACAACTATTGGTCTCTAGCCATCCTGACCAAAGAAGTGTAATGAAAATAAGAAGGTATATGGGACAATTAGTTTAGTGGACTAATGAACCATACAAATGCCATGTCCACAACCCTGAGACCAGAAACCTAGAGGATGCCTGGCTACCTTTACCAATGACTACTACTGCTACCCTGACCAACTGCTCAAGACCTTCACATTAGTGCAGTGGAGAAAAATGGGGAACGAAATTCAAAATTATAAAAGCGTCCAGCCGTACTGGTTGGATCGATACTTGTGGAACTGCCACGATTTTGGCTGTTACCACCCTTCAGGTCTAAAAGCAGTGTTAGAATAATCAGTCATTCAAGGTCAAAAGGATAGCATAGACTCAAGGACAAAGCTCAGAGAAATAGGAAAGGAGGAGGACTGGAAACCTGAAACACAGGGAGAAAGTGAGATACCTGATGAGACATTGAGGGGCTTGCAATGGGTGTGTTGAAAAGAAAAATGTGTATGGATTGTTAAATGTAAAATTGGTGATCTGCTCTATAAACCTTCACCTAATTCACAATTAAAAAGCTGTAAAGACAAGACAAGAAAAAGTTGTGCTTCTGTTACAGATTGAATTGTGGTCCCCCAAAGTTTGTGATGCAAATCCTTACTTCTATGCCTGTGGACCTCAAAACGGAGCCAACAGCCAGCATTTTGAAGAATAGAAAGTATTGAAATACTTAAGCATTTCATTTTACCTGGATCCACAATGCTTATAGAAGCAGCAGTCAAGAAACCAAACCGCAAATTGTATTGGGCAAATGTGATGCAGGCGACCTATTTAAAGTGTGAAAGAACAGGATGTCACTTTGAGGACTAAGGTGCACCTGGGCCCAAACCAAGAAAACCTCACTGCCGTGCATTCCATGCTGACTCATTGTGATCCCATGGAACAGGGTAGAACTGCCTCTGTGAGTTTCTGAAACTAATTGTTGACTGGAGTAGAAAGCCCTCTTTCCCCTGCAGAGTGGCTGGTGGTTTTGAATTTCGGACCATGAATTTAGCAGCCCAACTTCCAACTACTACGCCACCAGTGCTCCTGGACCTGGCCCAAGTTATATTTTCAATCGTCTCATATGCATGTGAAAACTGGACAATAAGCCCCCAATAAAAAAAAGAAAGAAAACTGGACAATGATTAAGAAGGACCAGAGAACATTCGATACATTTGAATTATGGTGCTGATAAAGATATTGGAAGTACCATGGACTGCTAGAAGAGCCAACAAATCTGTCTTGGAGAAAGCCCTTAGAAGCGAGGATGGTGAGACTTCATCTCACCCACATTGGTCACATGGTTTCCCCCTTGTCACTTAAATTAATATGCAAGAGGAAGAGATGGTCTTAAAAATGTCTGATGCAAGATGAATACCAAACTCAAATGTTTGGAAAATTTTGTTAAACCAACTAAGGATACATGTCTTAGAATGTTCCACAACTAAGGATACATGTCTTAGAATGTTCCACAATCTTTTGCTAAAGGAACTAAGCATGTGAGTTGTGGATCTAACCAACTTCCATAGTAGAAAGCCCATCAACTTATCCTGATTGGGACTGAAAAAGAAGGAAAGGAAAAAGAATGCTATCTGCCTCTTGGAATGCCACAGGCAGGAAGCAGGCCAAAGAGTTTATAGCTGTTGTCTTCCAAGCAAACAAAAGGATCATCCCTCAAACAGCTTGGAGTTCAGCACAACTGTTGGAAGGAGAACCAGAAGCAGGGCTTCTTAGTTTCAAAGGGTGGGGCCAAGGTCTTCTAAATTTCAAAGGGGGTTTCAAAGAGCAGGATCTTCTCCAACTTGGTTCTGGCCTGCGAAGCTGCTGTTAAAATGTGCCAAGGGGATTGGAGGTGCTGCATAAAACTGAAGGAGCGAGGCCTGCTGGGGCCAAGGGCTCGGCTTGCCACTCAAATGGACTAGGAAAATGGGGCACCAAAGCCAAGGGAGCAGAGTTGTTACCCAGAGCTCCTGGAAGGTGGAGCTGGTGTCCAGGGCTAAAGGGTTTCTACTCAAAATCTGATGGGCATGGCCTAGATGGTGAGGTCATTGTCCACATGGTCCCCAAGAACAAAGGATTATTTTCAAGCCTTGAGAACGAATGTAAATCGCTAGGTTGGGTTTTGAACTTGCTTGGTGCCAATTAGTCTTTCTTTCCCTTCAATTTCTCTTGTTATAATGGAAATGCCTAACTGGTGCCTCTTCTATCATTGTAGTTTGGAAGCAGTTAACATGTATTCTAGATTTCACAGGTTCACCGAAGAAGAAAATAGAACACACCTGAAGGCTGACCCATATTGGATTTATCTAATTCGGAGCTAAAATTTTAGACTTGGAGTTAGGACTTTGGGGAAGATGTGATGTAATGAATGTGTTTTGCATGTGGGAAGGGCACAGATTTGGGGAGGGCTAATAGGTGGAATGTTATGCATTGAATTGTGTCCATGGTCTCCTCCCCAAATATATGTTGTCTATGTCTATGGCTGTGGTTAGGAGCTCTGGTGGCATGGTGGTTACTCATCGGGCTGAGGTCCAAAAGGTATTGAGTTCAAAACCATCAACCACTCCCTGGGAGAAAGAGAGGAGATTTTACTCCCATGAACAGTTATAGTCTCAGAAACTCACAGGGAGAGTTTATTCTACTCTGTCCTGTCCGGTCGGTCGCTATAAGCTGCCATCCACTCAATAGCAGTGAGTTCAGTTTTGGTTTTTGCATATGGTTAAAATTCCATTTGAACTTGGGTTATTTTTGTTATGTTGATGAGATGGGATTAGTGTAGAGTATATCTTAAGTCGATCTCTTTTTGAGAAATTAAAGCGATTAAACAAGCAAATAAAAAATAGAGACAGGAAAAATTGATGTCATGCTACATGAAAATTGCCCCGGAGCAGAAACTCAGACAAGGGACTTCCTCCAGTGTTGACAGAGAGAAAGCCTATCCCGAGAGCCAGCACCTTAAATTTAGACTTCTTCTTCGATTCCGAAACTCTGAGAACACTACTTTGTTTAGTAAAGGTACCCACTTGTGGTAGATCACTAAGACAAGCTCACATCCAAAGATCTATAAGGCAGTGTTTCCTATATGTTATATGATAAGATGAAATGTTAAGATGTGTATATATCATCATTATAATTCATCTGGTTTAATAAATTTCCCCAATTAACTGACCAACTATTGGGTCAGATCCAATTTGCTAGGGGTTAGGGGCCGGGTCTCTCTTATTCTCTAGTCCCTTTGTTTTCATGGAAGGGCAAATAGGAGAGAATTGGTCCCAATTCTTCTAGAAGGAGCAGCCTCCCTGATTGGTGAATTTTGATCTGCCAATTTATCTTCAGAGAAAATGCTGTCTTTTCTATTCAGCTACGGTTAAAGTTGCTAGGCTTCTGGAAGAGGGACATTGGAGTTTGGTGAAGTTTGTGTGAAAATGTTAATTCAGAGGAAGAATATTAAAAAGACTTATCAGTCCCCCATGCAAATCACATTATTAAGTTCAGTTTTATTAATAATAAAGTGATATCTTCATTGGTTCCAAATTTAGAAGGAATGATACTTAAAAAAACAAAAGCAAAATGGTTTTGTTAGCACTTCATCCACAAGCCATACAATTCAATAATTCAATCATATCAAGAAGTGTTGTAAAATTGCCACCATATTCAATTCTAGAACATTTTCTTCTTCCTCGTGCTCATTGTTATTCGTGTAATTATTGTTGCTGGGTTTTTTTAAAGAAGGAATGGTATTTATTGCCCTTATAAAACTCCAACTTGTATGTATTATCACAGGATAACTGTCACCATCAAGATAGGATTTTATTTTGTATTTTAGTCCTTGATTCTGTTGTTGCTGGTCTAGGGGCTGTAGTTTAGCTTTCTTTGAAGTCCAATCTTTATCTCAAGCTGGACAAGGGAGAAAACATTTATGGCTCCTGGGAAATACTGATATTAGGAAATATTTACTGAGAATGAGTTAGGAACAAACATTGTTCTGCTCATCCCTTCCCCCACCACATCCTGGGAGAGTCTTGCCTATCCTGTTGATTTCTGGGACATGTAAACATGGCAAGCTTGAGGTCACAGGCTGTTTGTCTATTCAAAACAAGAACTGCAAACATAGCAGGGAATAGTCTAGCCTCTCTAAGGCAGGTTGTGACCCAATGTTGTGGGTGTTGGGTGCTGTCAAGGAAGGCCATTCTGAGACGTTGCGACCCTGTGTACAATGGAATGAAGCACAGCCCAATCCCATATCAACATGACCCAATTTTGGACCATAAAATCAACGTGGTTGGTCCTGACCATATTTTAAAACAAATACAAACAATAAGTTAGATATTTCAGCATGCATTGCATGAAGCTAAGAGTAAACATTTTTTTTTTGGTAATAATTTTTAAGACTCAAAAAAATTTCTTTAAGACACTTGCTTTAGAGGGGTGCTGGGTGTGTTGGCATGTTTGGGGTTGAAATGTACAATGTATTTTTTATGGGGAGTCACAGCCAAAAAAACTTTGCAAAAACACCGGTTTAAGGCACACATTTCTTCTTCCTTTCATTTTCACTCGTACCTAATTTGCCTTCTTTCTGAAACTCTGCTGCCTTGTGAATAAAAACTGTAGTAATAAATAACCAGAGAAGCAAAGGCTAATTCTCACCTTGTAAATGGCTGGAATGAAGAGACTGCTGCCCCACTCTTCATTGCTTGAGTCAATCAAATGTCCAAATAGTAGGAGCTCTAGAACCTCAGGGGGTAAGTGGGTACTAGAAAATGAATTAAAAAAAAAAAAAAAAAAGGAAATGAATTCTAAGTTTATCACCTGTGAAGTTCAAGCGCTACTGTTTCTTCCCAGCCTGCCAAGCACAAAGGGTTCAGCTTGCCATTCAGGACCATTTAGATGTAGTGCTGTCTGACCTTCCCAGGCTGATCCCCTATTCTTCTATAAGAAGCCTGTGATCCAGTCAAGCTGACCTCTTGATGTTCCCTGAACACTCCATTACACATTTCCCCATTCCGTGTGGGCAGTTCAAAATCACCAGTCATTGTTTGGAGAAACATGGGCTTTCTCCTCCTGTAAAGAGTTACGGTCCCAGAAACTCACAGAGGCAGTTCTACCTTGTCCTACAGCGGCTATGCGTAGGCATCAACTCAATGCCCGTGAGCTCGGTTTTTGATTTGGTCCTGATTTGTACAGTTCTTTGTGCCTGGAACAGCCTCTAATGCTGCTTGTGAAACTCCCATCCAGCCTTCAAAGTTTCCAATTTTCTTCTTCTTCCTTTTTAAAAAAAACCAAAAACAAACATTTTTATTGTGGTTCCAGTGAAAGCAGAGCACGTTAGTTTCCCATTCAACCAGTGATACACATTTTGGTTTGTGACATTAGTTGCAATCCCCTCCATGTAACAACACTCCTCCCACTTCCCCT